AAATCACTCACTGCTCTTGACTGAATAACTTTTGTAACTTTAATTTTAAGAATTAATCTGTTGTTTAATTTACAGTGAATTTACTGTTTTTAATTTACAGTTTATTCCATTTCTGCAGCATTTCTGTACCTGTATTTTTTCCACCAAAGCTGTTTCTAAAACGAAATTCAGGTCCCGAGTTTAATTTATAATACTGGCTAAGCAAATTACAATATACTTAACATTCTGGCATTCAGTTATGTGATTGTGTAGCCTAACTTATGTTCTCTGCATGAAGTTTATTGGTTGAACGAACCCTGCATTTAATGAGTGAATGCCTACGATATAGGAGTTAGCCTATCACACAAACTAGAGTCCTGTTTTTCCGAATATCTGCACGATGGCAAATGTACAATAAACACAGACACAAAATTCTGTTTTGCCCCATCAATGCGTCTCCGAGCAACACAGTGTTTTGTTTCTCAGCATTACACGGACCAGTAAATAGTTCAAACAGGCTATAAGCACAGTCGTTTGCTAAGAGACCCCCCCGACATGATTGTAAAGCGCTTTGGGTGTACAACAATACACAATAAAGTGCTATATAAATGCATCATTCATTCATTCATTCAAGTTAAATTAATTAGTATTTTAAACAAATCGGTTGATTTATGGATTAAAACTCACACATTAAGACAGTCACTTGCTGCCACCTACTGGCGGTTGTAGTTTCATATTTTTTTAAAGTAGCTAATTATTTCATTTTTTCAATCATTTAATATTTCTACATTAAAATGTATTTAAAATTAGCATAACTTGTTTATAGTGATTTCATTTTATTGTTAATAGCCAACATGTTTTTTATTCAGATTGAATTTATTAAATTTAAGCATCTAACATAAAAAGACACAGATATGACAATACATTTTCATAATAATACATCTCTTTGGTTTTTTCTGCTCAGTGTTATTTCAGGGTTTTGATCTCTCAACTGAGAGATCACATCCTGTTTATTGTATTATAGTGACTATTTAATATTACATCTAAACTTTGACTAGGCTATACGTGTTGCCTATGAATTGTATACACTATCCTGAAAGCATATTTTAATTTTTGTGTATTTTGTGTATGGGGCCCAAACATAACCTCAAGCCCAGGGGCCCCCGGCCCCGTAAGTCCTGCCCTGATCGTATGTCTTGGGAGTGAAAACAGGTTGAAATTTCTAGTGGTTCACCAGAACTAGTATCAAATTTAGAGCTTTGTTTGTATTTGTTAGGTGCAGCAGTGGCAAGTTTAACAGTCGGGTGGTTTGAGTTCCGGATTTAGCTAAATAAGTCATTCCAGCCTTCATGGATTTGGTTGTTAATGATCGATAGCTTTACAGGTGTAATCTTTTCTTCATCTCCACAGCTGCATGCTGCGGTTGACTGTTGGTCCTGTGCAGGAACAAGCCCACAGAGAGAAGCAGCATCATTAATCTTTGTTGTTCAGGGTCAATCTGCAATCTCATCTCAGCCACTGAATCTGGCTATATGAGGAGTCTTTGTGTGCAATTTCTGGGTGGGTGAGTCACTGTCTAAATGTTGCCAGCTATTTTTGGATTTGAGGCGAGACACAAAGCCATTGGGTTTACAAAGAGGCAGTGACCAACTGAATCAATTTTCATGACAAAAACCTAAAACCTTGAGGGAGGTTTACCTGTATCCCGATGGAAGAACGCGGAGTCTTGAGGTATTCCTCTGCTTTGGACACCAGGATGGCCTTATCGCAGGTCTGAACGGAGCTGTAGCTCCCCGCAGAAGTGAGGCGCTTGGATGCGGTTTCCATTGCTAGGGTCACCGCCTTAGCGCTATCCAGGCTGTCGGTGGAGTTGTAGATAACCCGGCCGAGGCTATCCGGTGGCCAAAGCCCTCTCCGCGGCGGCCGACCCTCGTGGTACGCATCCTGCATCGACTCTGTGCTGCTCTGGGCTGTTACAGAAATCAGCGGCTTAGTGGTGGAACGAAGAGGAACAGGTGGAGGAGTCTTCTTGTAGCCAGGTGTATATGTCACTGCCGCTATAAAGGAACAGATGAACGATACATTAGATTTGAGAGAAAATAAAACACTTTCAGGAGTCGGTGTGCTAGGCGTTTAATTGTAAACTTCAAAACAATAGATGTAGGGATCCTCAAATCTGGCCCACGAGATCCATTTTCCTGCAGAGTTTAGCTCTAACCCTAATCAAACACACCTGAGCATGCTAATCAATGTCTTCAGGATCATTAGAAAATCACAGGTAGTTGAATTTGATCAACAAAAAAAATTAGTGTACATAGTATAGCTTTAAGAACACCACAAGCTACCAGGATAAATCTTTTGCAAATGGAATAATGTGTATAGTGAGTAAATTGGACAGTGCTTGAATGGTGGAACGAAGAGGAACAGGTGGAGGAGTCTTCTTGTAGCCAGGTGTATATGTCACTGCCGCTATAAAGGAACAGATGAACGATACATTAGATTTGAGAGAAAATAAAACACTTTCAGGAGTCGGTGTGCTAGGCGTTTAATTGTAAACTTCAAAACAATAGATGTAGGGATCCTCAAATCTGGCCCACGAGATCCATTTTCCTGCAGAGTTTAGCTCTAACCCTAATCAAACACACCTGAGCATGCTAATCAATGTCTTCAGGATCATTAGAAAATCACAGGTAGTTGAATTTGATCAACAAAAAAAATTAGTGTACATAGTATAGCTTTAAGAACACCACAAGCTACCAGGATAAATCTTTTGCAAATGGAATAATGTGTATAGTGAGTAAATTGGACAGTGCTTGAAGTGAGCTGGTACGCTGCGGTATCTGTATTATTCATGCGTCCCAGCAGCTCATATAAACTGCAGATATTCTCTTTTGTTCCTCCTTGACAATGCAGTCTCACTAGACAAAGGGGGGGGGTATTTTAGGGTATTTTCCTAAATATGTATTATTTACTTTGACCTCACTGTATAATCTCTAAGAGACAGAATCACATTTCTCTGAGACTGACATCCCTATTCTTCCTTTAGCCAATCAGAAGATTTTGAGGTGCTTTCTGCCTGTCAATCATTTTACACATTCACTGAGCAGCCCATATATGGAAAGCTGGAAGAAGAGAGTGTGAATCATTCAAGTGTAATGCCATATACAATTTCATAGCAGTTGTCAGTTTGTCTATTTTGCTACAGTCGTCAGCACTGAGATGACGTGCTGCTGCTCTCCTGCTCCGGTCAGTTCTGGCTTGTGCAACCAAACCCTGGTGCTAATCCAGCTTGATTCTTTGATGGCAATGAAGCCTTGGAAGAATCAAGCTGCCCTTAAAATAATAATAATAATAATTCTAAAGAAGGAATTACAGACCTACTGCATGGCTTTGCAGCACCTGCAGGGTGCTTGTATGTGCCAACATGACAAAATACCTCAGTGTGGTTAAATGTAACAATCTACATATGATGTGCCAATCAAAACCATGGGCTCCAAATAGCACACTATTATAAAACTACTGAATGAGTCACAGACTGAAGGGAAAAATGTGGGAGAGAGACGTGTGATTCATACAGAGGAGTAAAACACTTCCAAAAATAGAATGTATGGTTGTATAAGAGAGGAACACAATAATCCATTCATGACCTGTTGTATTGATGCTCTGTGTCATAATTCATTCTGTCATCAGCATGTCGAACACTTCATCAGCTGTGATTAAAAATGAAAACTCTCAGAGCAAGAGAATATGACTCATCTCTGCAACTACTCTCTGGAAGCGTGGAAGATTTAAAACTGAAATATGTCATTTTTCGAATGTTAAAATATTTTCTCATATCACTGCTATATGCAGAGACAACCATATACTGACACATCTTAATATCTTTTATACATTTTCACCCTGCGTTCTTTTGAATCTGAACAAAACATCTGTTGCAGGACTCATCACTGTACGTACATATGAACTCTTCTATGACCAATGGCAGATGGTTGAGGAATGTTCAGATTTTTATTTTATTTTTTCAATTCTGTTTGGAAATGAACAGCACTTCAGCTTAACAAAATAATGTTGAATAATGTTGAAATAATAATATATCATATATTTTGCCATTTAATTCATTCATTATCAACATTATATACATAAAACATGCCAGGTGTGTTTAAACATGAAATTATATTTTTACTAACTGTAAAAAAAATAAAGAGTGTGAGTAAATGTTTAATTGAAAAATGTATTTAATTCTCTATATGGAAAGAACAGTTTTATGAAAAAAAAATAAAACAACACCATGAACACTTCACATTTCATAAACAAAATATTTTTTTTCTTGTATACATTTTGCATCTGTTAAGGTGCGGTTACAATATAGCAAAATTTTGTGGTGCAAAAATTCCATTGTTTATTTTCAGTAGTGTAGCGATGTATAAAGCACAATTAAACCTCTTTTAAACCAAGCAGCTTTTTGTTGGTCAGTGTGGCGAATTCGAATCTGCTGCGAAATCTGCATGGGGAAATATTTTTCCCTCACACAAAATACCCAATCATCTGGATTCCTATTGAGATTTGAATTTCACCTGTGAAAATTTGCCAAACAACAGTTATTGTGACCACATCTCCCGTCCTCACCTCTCTGAATGGTTGTAAAAATATGAATTTACATGTACAGCCTACAAACACTGCAGGCAAAAGCTAAGCACGCACACATCTAACAGTTCTACAAAATCATGACAGTCCCTGTTTTTGAGTTGGACAGGTTTATTTTATAAAGTTTATAAAGGTTTATTTTTCTCAGATTTCTGAGAAAGCAATGTCTTGTTAGCTTGTAAAAGCACATCTTGAATAGCCCAGTTTTCTCTCCAAAAGCCCAGTGTGCCAATGAAGGGCTGCTGACTGATTTGGTATCTTGGCAACAGTTATCAGAGGGGTATCAAATGCCAAAGAGGTGCTAAACACAGAAACAAAGATAGAAGGCATGATCAAAACCATGAATCACTAGTAAAGAATAGAATTGGTTCTTTCCAAAAAAAAAAAACTGATTTGTCTTAGTACATTTTTATATACAGTATGTGTGCAATACAGTCCTTCTGTTTATTGACGGATTTTTTTATTATTATGCGTGATCTGAAGAAACATGAATGAAGTTATGTAAAATTATCATTTATTTATATTATCTCAGGTGCATGTGCATTCTCCTTTACAAACATGCACACTGGAAGACACACTTCTGTTGCTGAAAGCCTCAGGCTTTATTCCGAGATTTCAGTCTGCAACGACATTACTGAACTAATTACACACTAACTACTAATTAACATATTTGATACTATAGCAGTGTTATGTGTTTTGCCTAAACTTGTGCATTGCACATAAGGTTGTGAACTGAATCTTGAACTGTTTATTAGTGCATGTGTTAAGCTGCATGTTCTGCATTTTAATGCCAGCTTGAACGAGTTATAAAACTTTCAGCGTGACTGTTTAATCAACAACAGATGCTCAGTTTCCACTAAAATCAGCTATTCAGTGCATGTGGTGCATGATAAGAGACAGTAAAACAGCAGCCCAGTGATATAAGAGCAGATATTCTGATAATGTGTGTACAGAGCCTTATCAGCATTAGTGACAAAATGTCCCTAGAATAAAAGCTGAGTATCAGGTATCGTTGCTTTGTTTACCTTTATGTTTCTGTTTTGTCTTGCTCTTACTTTATTTTAATGTCTCATTGTTTCGCCTTGCTTTGTTTTGTTGCTTTGCTTTTTTTGTCTTGTCTTGCCTTCCTTTGCTTTGTTTTCTTTCATTGTTTTGCCTTTTCTTGCTTTGCTATGTTTAATTGTTTTGCCTTGCCTTGCTTTGTTTTGATTTTGTTTTAGTTTTTTGCTTTGCTTTTTTGTTTTAATTTAGTCTTGCCTTGCCTTGCTTTGTTTCAGTTTTGCCTTGCCTTGCTTTACTTTACTGAGTTTTGTTTTAATATGTTTCATTGTTTTGTTTTGTTTTGTTTTGTCTCGCCTTGCTTTTGCTTTGTTATCTTGTTTTGCCTTGGTTTGCTTTGCTTTACTGTTTTGTTTTGTTGCTTTGTTTTCTTGTTTTGCCCTGCCTTGTTTTGTTTCATTGTTTTGCCTTGCATTGCTTTGTTTTGCCTTGCCTTTCCTTGCTTTTCTTTGCTTTGTTTCATTGTTTTGCTTTGCTTTGCTTTGTTTTGTTTTTGTTTGGCTTTGTTTTGTTTTGACAGTCCAGACTTCAGATCAGCTTGCATCTTCACTGTGTGGGAAAGACTAGTTTTGACATTTTGTTTTGTATTTCAAGAGAAAGGGTCATTTAAGTTTGGAGCGACATGAAAATCTGAGAGGGTCTGATTTGGCATGACACTTCTGAACAGGAACACACTATGTGGTGTGGCTTCACTGGGATGTGTGGCTTTACCTGGAGTTGGAGTTTCTGTTCGATCCACACTACATGCAGTAGGGAGACGAAACTGGATCCCTGAAAAGAACAAAAGCCATTAGTAGAGCTTGATTGAATCAAATTGTGTTTAGACACTGTCACTGCACCTTGTCTCCCAACATTTCATATTCATTAATATCAATAAGACATTTTAACAATACAATATTGAAATGAACAATATTATGTTAACAATATTATTCAATCTGACACCAGTTGTTTGGATCTTCAGATATCTTCACTAGTGCATTGTCTTCATAAGTAATTCACTTCAAAGCAAATGTTTACAAAAGCCAATTAAGCTATAATCAATGGTGTCATATTGTTAAAAATGAACAAAGATAAATACATTTAAAAAGTCACATGTATTTATAACAACCAACAGGCCAGGACATTTAGTTATGAATAAAGAATTGGTGGTTGGTAGAATGTTTGACCAAAAGAGGTTCTGGCATGTTACTTAGCACGTATTCTTTATTAATTTCTCACCATTATCTTTAATGTAGCTCATGATGCAAACATTAGTTTAATTCTACCCTTGTGAAAAAGAAAGTATACTTTAGGATAATTTTAAAAAGATTGTCTATTATGGAAATAATACATTTAAAAAATATATACTTA